GACCCTGAGAGTCGGCTGGTAAAAACAGCGAATCGGCCGACCGGCTGCGCCACTGATTTGTCGCCGACCTGTCACCGAAACGAGCGACCAACTAGAAATCATGGGATAATTTTGTCACCGGGTTGGGATGAAACCTAAAAAGATACCATGGTGCCGTCGGGTACGGTAGAGTCTCTACGAAAACGTTTGCTTGTGCTGTGTGACGAAGTGTATTACCATGGAGACATAATATCTCTGTATGGATACCTCATATTTCCTTTGGCGGAGAATGCTGTATTATTCGTTGCGGCTGTCACTAAAATGGTCTGCTAAGAGCTTTTTTGGCACCAAGGTTCTTGAGAACATATGCATTTTTTGTCGCAGACCTTATCCATCAAGTCGGAGATTTTGCCACCCCCTGAAAGTGGTTACCAAGCGTAGAACATTTTCAACATAAATATCCCGTCGACTAAATATGTCATAGCCAGTTGCAATGGGTGGTTTGGCTTAGAAAAATATAAGTTTCAGCTCAAATGATATTACCAGACCTCGACCTGACCTGGAGACCACGATTATGTTTTTGGCTCCGGTGTCACCGAAACTCTCTCCTGTTGTTTATAGCAAACTTTTAACTTTTTCAAAGTCCTTCCATCAAAGGCACAGCTCTGCTGTTGCACTAGAATAGCGCTGTCTTTACGTGGATATGTCAATAATCTGACGGAACTAGCTGCACTATCATTTGGTGACAATTGCATCTCGTTGAAATGTTTTTTGAGGGAGGATAAAACCTAACTTGAACGCTATGCACACATTAAAGTTGACTGCCGCATCTTTTAAAGGAGAAATTGGTGTCCACTGTTTGCACCATTAAAATTGGCTGCTGCATCTTTTAAAGGAGAAATTGGTGGTCACTGTTCGCACCAAACATGAAAAGTTATTCCCTGTGACCAGCCGGGTAGTGTATCTGGCTTTATTCCGCTACGTTCTGATAAACAGGAAAACCATAAGAACAAGAATAGATACACATGGTATATCGGCTGCAGATCGGTTTCCAATTATTCGCTGAGAAATTGAAGTGAACTAAAGTTCTGCTGTGATGCTCGGAGTTGGGATCAGCTTCCGGCGACACGGGTAAGAGCCGGAGTCGATGCCGATGAAGTCGCGTCCAGCACATGTCTGCTTAGCAGTGAACGCCAGCCGGCGGCTGATTACCCGAACAAAGCAAATGACCCAATCTGCCCTAGACTGTTCGTGAACTGTGCACTTAACATTGCATTTGCCAAGACCGCCACAATAAGCCTTGATTGGAATAAGCAATGAAAGTTCTTGAGCACCACAACTGTTTGTCTTATCGCACTGGAAATGGAAATTGTCATCGTTATCATAGTAAGCTCAAAAAGTGGAAATAGTATTGTTTTGGAGAACGAACGAAAGACGTTGCTTACTCTTAAGCCGGCAGGACGCCGGAAACCGCAATGCGAGTGCAAACACTTGGACACACCCAGCTGCCTTCTATGCTGTCAAGAACATTAAGCCTCACAATATTTAAACGATTTCAGTATTAAAATAACAACAGTCAATCATAGACCAATTGTGAGAACAGACACTACTTGAGAATATATCACTACAATATTCTGATTACGAGGGCCTTACATTACATTTCATTAATCAAAAACTTCTCTTAGTGCATTACATTTTGTCAATTGGAGCGTTTCGCACCCAAACCAGCCTCCTGTGTGCCACCTGGACCAAACGGTTCATGTTTGGTCGTGGCGCTCAAAACCTCGCAGCTGCTGCCGAGAGGTTGGATGCTCGCGTGCATCACGACGTGGCACACCGAAGCCTCTGGGGTTTCGCGAACATACACTAAGTGATATCGCGGCGCCCGACGCGATGTTGACATCGTGTCTCAGAGATGTTTACATTTTTGAGACAGCTTCATCGACAATAAAATAAATTCCAACTGATTCTATTGAACCTTGCGTCGCGTTGGAAGATCAGGTCATGGTCAAAACCAAATTGTTTTCAACCGGATACCTTGCTTTATAATGTAGTTCTCGACGCTCATTTCGAGTTTCTTGATCACAGGTAGGTCAACAAACATACTGTTTGAGCTTAAGAAAGGTTATAAGAGACCACTGACGTAGAATGACCACGATCAACTCTTTGTTTTAAGAAACGTACCGTCTAGCGGTATGTTTGCCCTTGCCGCCTGTTTGCCGCCCAGCTTTGGCGCTTCTTGAAATTTGAAAATAAAAACCCCACCCTCACCCTTTGCTTAACAGAAGTATTTATGCTGAAGGTGGTTGCATAAGGAGGTCTGAGGGAGCTATGGTCACCAATCAGGTGTTTGATCTTGTTTGCCTTATCTAACTCGCAGGTGATGACCTAGTGAGCCCAGGATTTCGCACAAGCGAGTGCACATATAGGCCTATTTATCCTGTGAGTTTCTTGTATCTAATTTTCGTAGCTATGAGATCTCAAGTGGTCAACTTAATTCTTCACTCGAGTGGCGTGGTATTCAACCAGTCACCTGGGTGCGTCCTTCAGTCATGACTGAGCCGTTTTCAAAACCTTATTAACATGCATGTGGTCGGTTCACCACCAACCTGCCGATGCCCAAAAGTCTCGGATATTCTTAATGGCGTGTTGTTTTCTGGCCAGCTACAGACGCTCTGCTGCTTAAGAGAAATTCCGTACCGGATATTCGCAGCCCAGCTTACCAAATTTAGCGACCGAAATTTACTGGGGCAGAGATTTCCTCATCGCCCTCCCCCTTATCTTTGGAGCCACCGGGCTGACTTCGCCAACTCAGTCTGTAATCGATAGCCCAGATTTCACGTCCCAGAAAACATCCGTTTTGGTGACTTCAACGTCACTGACATCAGGAGTCAGGCGAGCCAGGCAAGATTTGGACAAACGTGCGCTTGTTTTAGAACGGAAGCTTCGCTGTTGCATGGACCGGTGTGCGGTGTTGCAAATGTTTTTTAGTTAGCGCGTGATCAGGGTATCAACCATCGACATTGTTTGTGAGGTGCTTAGCCGGCCACCCCGCTTTATGTAGGTCCAGGTTACGTATGTAAGAATAAGTGGCACTTCGCAAAGTTCGCTTGGAGGCGGGGAGGGGGACAGAATGCGGCTTCACTTCAGTACTGCCGTTTTCAGCTGTCTGTCTGGGGGGGAGGGGAGGTTGCAACTTTGGGTCAAATGTTTCGCGGAGAGAGCAAACATGGGACAAACCGGCCGCAGATTTGACGCAGCACGACACAGCAGTCAGCCACCAGCCGATGGCTCCGACAGGCAGCTCATCTGGGACCGCCTCTGACCTCAGCGCGTCTGGGGCCGCCTCTGACCTCAGCGCGTCTGGGACCGCCTCTGACCTCAGCGCGTCTGGGACCGCCTCTGACCTCAACGCGTCTGGGATCGCCTCTGACCTCAGCTCATCTGGGACCGCCTCTGACCTCAGCGCATCTGGGACCGCCTCTGACCTCAGCGCATCTGGGGCCGCCTCTGACCTAACTGCCACACACTGCCCGTATTCTCGGCACGTTGTGCCGGCGGCACTATCAAAGCCCGCCGCCACGCTTGGGCCACCGCGTAAATAACGCCAGCCGGCCGGGCGGGGATGGCCGGGGTGGATGTGGCCCGCCGGCGGCGCGTCGCGTGTAGGACCAAGCGGTCCGCCGGCGGTGCGGGCCGGAGAGGGCCGGGGTGGAGGTGGTCCGCCGGCGGTGCGGGCCGGAGAGGGCCGGGGTGGAGGTGGTCCGCCGGCGGCGTGAGCCGGGGAGAGCCGGGATGGAGGTGGACCGCCGGCGGCGCGACGCGGAGAGGGCCGGGGTGGAGGTGGTCCGCCGGCGGCGTGAGCCGGGGAGGGCCGGGGTGGAGGTGGTCCGCCGGCGGCGTGAGCCGGGGAGGGCCGGGATGGAGGTGGACCGCCGGCGGCGCGACGCGGGGAGGGCCGGGGTGGAGGTGGTCCGCCGGCGGCGCGACGCGGGGAGGGCCGGGATGGAGGTGGTCCGCCGGCGGCGCGAGCCGGGGAGGGCCGGGATGGAGGTGGTCCGCCGGCGGCGCGAGCCGGAGAGGGCCGGGGTGGAGGTGGTCCGCCGGCGGTGCGGGCCGGAGAGGGCCGGGGTGGAGGTGGTCCGCCGGCGGCGTGAGCCGGGGAGAGCCGGGATGGAGGTGGACCGCCGGCGGCGCGACGCGGAGAGGGCCGGGGTGGAGGTGGTCCGCCGGCGGCGTGAGCCGGGGAGGGCCGGGGTGGAGGTGGTCCGCCGGCGGCGTGAGCCGGGAGGGCCGGGATGGAGGTGGACCGCCGGCGGCGCGACGCGGGGAGGGCCGGGTGGAGGTGGTCCGCCGGCGGCGCGACGGGGGAGGGCCGGGATGGAGGTGGTCCGCCGGCGGCGCGAGCCGGGGAGGGCCGGGATGGAGGTGGTCCGCCGGCGGCGCGAGCCGGGGAGGGCCGGGGTGGAGGTGGTCCGCCGGCGGCGCGACGCGGGGAGGGCCGGGGTGGAGGTGGTCCGCCGGCGGCGCGAGCCGGGGAGGGCCGGGATGGAGGTGGTCCGCCGGCGGCGCGACGCGGGGAGGGCCGGGGTGGAGGTGGTCCGCCGGCGGCGCGACGCGGGGAGGGCCGGGGTGGAGGTGGTCCGCCGGCGGCGCGACGCGGGGAGGGCCGGGGTGGAGGTGGTCCGCCCGGCGCGGCGCGAGCCGGGGAGGGCCGGGATGGAGGTGGTCCGCCGGCGGCGCGACGCGGGGAGGGCCGGGGTGGAGGTGGTCCGCCGGCGGCGCGACGCGGGGAGGGCCGGGGTGGAGGTGGTCCGCCGGCGGCGCGAGCCGGGGAGGGCCGGGGTAGAGGTGGTCCGCCAGCAATTGATCGGAGACGGCGCGGCGGCGGCCGGGGCGGTGCGGCGCAGAAGGGCAGGGTCGGCCCCGGGCGGGCGGGCCGCCGGACCGGCGCCGGCCTGTCCGAGTCGGCCGGCCGGCGGCGACGGCGGCGCCACCCGTGTCCTCCGCTGACCCGACACAGCCTCGGGCGGCCTGGCGCTGCGTCTCTGAGACACCGCCGGCGCGAGTGGTACCACCGGCCGTCGAGTGCTGGGCGGCGTGCGCGGCAGGCTCCGGTCGGCTCCGGTCCGGCTCCCTCGCCTGGTGAGCTCCGCAGCATGCTCCGGTCCGGCTCCCTCGCCTGGTGAGCTCCGCAGCTGTCTCTGGTCCGGCTCTCTCTCATAGTGAGCTCCGCAGCTGTCTCCGGTCCGGCTCCCTCGCCTGGTGAGCTCCGCAGCTGTCTCCGGTCCGGCTCTCTCGCCTGGTGAGCTCCGCAGCTGTCTCTGGTCCGGCTCTCTCGCCTAGTGAGCTCCGCAGCTGTCTCCGGGGACGACTGCGCCCCTGCTCCACGCTAGCCAGCGAGTTCCGTGCGTCAGCTGTGCTTGTTTAGTGCCCCTGGTAAGCTTTGGAATACTGAACTGCATGTGTGACGTTAGGTGCTGTATTGGTTGCTACTACGTGTGGCTGTTTGGACAATGTTTGGCCGAACATCTTAGACATGGACCTTCCCATTTCCGTGGACTGTCGTTACGTTTGGCTGGTGGTCATGACATTAATGAGAGCAGGGGGGTGACAACTAGGGGGATTGTCTCAAAACGGTAGCGCGCAATACAAGTAAAAAGGAAAATATCAGAACTCTTTCGACAGAGCTCGGCACCAAGCCATTGACAATCTAAACATACACCATGTACTGCTTACAGAAAGCACGTTGAACAACTATTATAACAGATAATTTTTTTGTTGAAAATGAAATACCGTCTCGGGTGCGATAATGAATAATGTTTTAGGACCCTCTCTTGCCCGGCATATTTTTGCATGTTTTTGTGATAGCGGATTACTGTAAATATGCACAATTGCGTGAGCCGTTGGTAGCCTTTTTTGTCAAGCATAGTGGCCTTAGGCATTCGACGATGACCAACATGCATCTGATATTTGGGGGAATTCGCAATAAAGCCTAGGAGACTGTTTGTGACATGTACCGCTTAATTTTGCGCACCAGCTAGTGAGTTGATTAACGGGTTTTATAACCCCACCAATTCAACTTACACCATGCACATAAATATGCCAACCACGTACTCTTTCGCAGATTTCTTTTCCACAACATCTTGCTCGTCGCCTTCCCTTGAAACCTTGCTATTAAGAAGCCCAAAGCGTGTCCCACGGTTCCTGGATCACAGTGTTTTTGGCCGCCAAACAAGTGACTATCCTCTCCTACAAACCAGAGCACAAATCTGTTGACTGCTAAACCTGGACCTCCATCTGTTGCTTGCCCCGTAGCTCAGGGTCTCCAGCCGTCCCCCGTCTCCCTTCCTGCTCCTTGGGCAACTCAGCCGTTCCCGCCATGTCGAATCCGGCCCACCTGGTGCGGAAGCAGAGCTCACGAGACTTGAAGCCGCCCTCGTCTGACCAGCTGGAGATGAAGGAGCTGCGCTCGCGGCTCGTGCCTCGCGTCAGCCGAGAGCCGGAGTACGGCGCCACCAACGCCGCCTTCGAGGAGCCGGCCGCGCTCAAGGTGCGATTGCAGGGTGGCCACCAACTCAGGCTTGGCTGGCCAGCAGCTAACCGCCTGTTTGGCCAAGTTGACTGTACCTAATCAACATTGTACTTATATTGTCTTTTTGTCTTGTTGCTATCCGGCATAGATATCAGAGTTCGTCAGATACGTGACTCCGTGCGCCACAGCTAAACCAATTATGTGATCGCTTTAAGACAGGGAATACAGCATATGTTCTCTTCAAAGAAAAAATACGCTTCGCATGTGCCTTTTTAGTCAAAGTTAAGATATTAATGCTTTTTAAGAATCATTGTACAGGCAAGTCAGATCATAATCGCAGCTGTTTTGTATTATAATTGCTAGGCTATCACATCATATGACGAATGAATACAAATATTTCCTGAAGAACTCCAAATCGTTGACCGATTCGTGGGGCAACTCAAGCCAACGTTGCGGTGCACAGTTTGTGGCCACGCGTCTGCAGCATCCGATCCGTTCTGGGAACTGAGCCTACCGATCCCGTGCATAGCGGACCAGGTGCGATTGCAGGATTAATTTGGCTTTGTCACCAAGGAAGAGAAAAGCCGACGTAGTCCATGTGCTAGAAACGCCGGAAGTGTCCCAAGAACTTCCAGATTCAGAGGTCAGGCATTCTTGTAGTGCACCTGAAATGATTCTCGCTGCAGCAAATTTAAAAAAGGCACACCTAATAGCACTGTGAACTCCTTTAACAGTGGTCTGGACCTGTTGCCGTAGTGTACCTACAGGGGGACTGCAAGTTCAACCTATACGTATAACCATCCTGGCGTGCTGCACTTGGACAATTACACGGCCCACTTAAAAACAACTTGTATGAGAGAGTGGTACAAGCACAAAGACTAAAGTTAAGCACGTCCGTTTGCGCCGCGCCAACAGCTGTACACCACACATGCTGTGCTTCGAGCTGGCCAATTGCTGAGCTGGTACCAACCTAAACGCCAGAACTCGAGGTAGTTATGGTCCCACCATACCTGCCACACACATTTCCACCGGTAATCCCGCCAGCTGATCGCTTTTGTACTTGCTAATTTTAGTTGTTTCCGTGACAGAATAAAGCCAGCTTTGCATGTAACAGAAAAGAATTCCCTACCTGATTCACTCTCCATAACACGAGGATCTTATACATAAAACACTCATTTTAAGCGACGATGTACTTTTTAGCGACTTGTAAAACTCAACTTTTACTTAAATGCATAGGCGAAGGCCAAACATAGGTATAGGCGTTGAAGAGAGCCTGAGTTGGAGGCAGCCAGGTATGGCATTTGTGGCGCTTACGGTGATGTTTTGTAGCCGTCTCTGTTACATGGTCTACAAAACTGCTTCAAATTGTGCAAAGCTGAACTCTAGATTCCCAAAGACATTACCTGCAGCATGCAGGCGCCATGTATTATTTCATTTATTTACGTTTGATAGGGAGCTTGTGATGAAGATAAACACCGCAAGTCTGAAGTCGACGAGGCTGCTCCATAAACCTCTTCATTATCTACCAGAGCCTTGTGGGACATACTAATTGTCTGCTTGTATGCTGTTACGAAACAGCTGGTTTCATTTCACTTTCCAACCATGCACCAAGAAGCTGAAGGTCTGACGGCACCTGATATTTGGATCAGGTGATCGTACCCGTGAGCATGTCCGGACATCGTGTGCATGTTCAATCCCAAACCGATATCCGCACGGAGACCAGGATTCCAAAGACCATATTTAATAGAACAAGAAGAACAAGAAGCTTAAATGATGTTTGGGCCAAACGGAGACTACAACAGGGTAGCGCTCAGGTATGTGTTTAATGAATTGAAACATAAATCTCTTTGGAGCCTTTAGTTGCTGTGAGCTGAGTTTTGACCCCTAGGGGCTAGGCATTGTCCTGACGTAACACAATCGACACCTTTGTGCTTATTTTCAGCTGGAGAATGGCGATGCGGACGTTCCACCAGCGAAGCAGCCGGAGCGGGAATCATGGGACAACAAATTCCAGTTTCTTTTGGCGACGATAGGCTATGCGGTCGGCCTCGGCAGCGTGTGGCGGTTTCCATATCTCACTCAGAGGAACGGTGGAGGTAGGTAGTTATCATCACGTTTAGTCCATGAGCCCGGAATATACCTGGATCTGCCTATGCTTGCCGGCCCGAGTACCCGACGCAAGGGCCAGACGGCACCTGAACACTGACAGCGATGCGTTAATACGGGATCCCAGGTGTGTTGCTGTATGATATGATTTATTATTTTAAGTGGCGACACTAGCAGATTTGAAGCCTCTTCCGGTCAGCCCGCGAAAGCACATCTGAAATTATTTGTTTGTATATGTTTTGCTGCCTTTGGTCTCGTTGAGATGAGCAGGAAATTCCAAAGAGGCAAACCACAACACATGCGGCGCAATTCTTCGCGCTTTTGCATAAGTTATGCAATCTTCGAAGCTGCGGCCATACCGGGTCAGAACATAAGGCTGGCCAGAGAAGGCTTAGAAGTCAGCACCACACAACGTGGTATAATTTTAAGGGTTACAAGTTTCCTACGATTTGGCGTGCAACAGCAAAGAGTGAACACGTTTTGTGAGGTTAAAGCTAATCGGGTCACTTGTGATGTGCTTCGTGATAAGTGGCCAATAGCACAGCGATGACGTCAGAAAATAAACACTGTTAACTGTTTCAGGGGCCTTTCTCATCCCGTTCTTCATCATGCTGTTCATACTGGGCATCCCTGTGTTCTACTTGGAGCTGGCGATTGGCCAGAGGCTGCGGAAGGGGGCCATCGGAGTCTGGAACCAGGTCTCCCCCTACCTGGGAGGCATCGGCATGGCCAGCTGCTTTGTGTCGCTCAACGTTGCGCTCTACTACAACACAATCATTGCCTGGTGCCTGTACTACTTGTTTCATGTAAGTGCAACCTGGTGTGCATTTGGCACACGCATGGAGGAAACCGTTTATGACATATTAAGGGAAATACAACCGGATCAGCTCGTTTTCGTTCCATGGCAGTTAAGCTGGTGTAATCACCAGGTGTGCAGAGAAGCACTGCCATATTCTCACATAGCACCGATGCATTTGGTGGACGGTACCCTTAAATGTATTGGGCCCGCCGTAATCTTTTCCACCCTCAGTTCGTCTCACACCAGAAATAGATGTGATTACGAAAGGGAGAGAGCCTTTCTAAAAGGAGCGTGCCAGTCCGAACAAACGGAGAACAACAAAACTAAACTCGATTTCCCACTTCTTCTTTCCCGGCGTCGTAACGCTGGGGGCTAGGCCACTGCCATGACGCTGTAGGTGACCTCAAAAGTGTTTATGATAAAGCAAGCAGTATTGCAGTGTGGGCAGCGAACAGCTGGCCGTCTATATGTCAGTCCGGCGAAACTTACGCGACTGCCTACGTATGATGTCGGATACGCTTCTTGGTAGGCCCAATGTCTTAAGTAAGTTCGATGTTTGAACTCGAAATGCCGTATGATGCATCCTATGCGTATGATGCATCCTATATATAATAGCATTGTTCCTATTTTCAGAGCTTGACATCCCACTTACCTTGGGCAGAGTGTCCCAGAGAATACTTTCCGAACAAGTCTTACACCGTCAACGAGGAATGCGAGGTACGCCAGCACGTTAGGCTCAGCAGCCTGAGAGGCATTCGTAAGCTTTGCTGAAAAACACGAAACGTTATAGTCTTGGGAATAGGGTTATAGCCTTGGGAGGTGATGTGGTAAGGGTTTAAATTGATGCGAGCATTGTTTCACCGTCGTGATATATGAAGGTTGGTTTTCATTATTTCACAAAGTGTGTCACTTTGGCGGGTGTAGTGTCTGCAATGCGTATAAACTCGGCAGACCGCTGTGTTGGTAGGTCAGCTGCCGCAGCCATCGCACGGAGGGGGAGGGGCTGTGTGAGCCAGTGAAGCACATGCTCACGGTGTGCTCGGCCGTCAGAAAGTCGACAATCATGGAAGACTTATTCTCCTTTGAACCATATTTGTTTCTGGGTCAGATAGATATACATTTGATGGAGGCATGTTTCTGTGGTCTCCGCGAGTCACTGGTGCTTCTGCGGCCCACAGCGATCTTCATGCATCAATTGTACTTTTATAACAGTAAAGTGACCCAAAACTTCCTGTACTTTCAACTTGTCCACGAAATCTGAATTGTGTAAAAACTGGACCTCATGCTCGTTCCGGATCATACTGCAATGCTTGAACAAGATCCCTAGTGGATTTTGCTTTTGTCGTTTACAAGCTTGTTGCTACGCCATGCCAGTGAATTAAGAGATGGTGAACTGTTGACACGACAGTATGAGAACAGCCATGGATCCAAAGAACGTGTATCACCATTGAGGCTCATCTCATTCACGCTATCTCTGGCGGGGGGGGGGGGGGGAGCTGGTAACGAATGATATCGTATTGGTATCTTACACAGCTGTGCCTGTCTGTATATCATTTACACGTGGGCGCAATGCAGGCTGTCCATCAGTGTTCAGATTTTGATTAATTTGTTATCCAAATGAGCACCCTATGCAGCACGGTTATATGCCACTTGGTACCTCCAGGTGAATTCTGGGCTCAGAACCATGAGCTATTCGGTGTTTGCACTTATTCGCTGACCCAACGACAGCTCATCGCCATAACAGCACGAAAAAACAGTTTGTCCTGGGAAATTCAGCACCACCTACTGCACATTCCACACGTTTATTCAATGCGCTCCTCGCTTGGTTTTTCTCATTCATGTAAGAGCAGTCTGGCCGCTGGCTCGGTGATGTCGAATACCAAATTTATAATTTACCGTTCCTTGCCAATCTATTTATCCTTAATTTCCATATGACATATCATAATAGGCTGGTAAGCCTATTGCAGGGGATTGTTTGATGCCTGAGTGAAGGTGTGCTGTGTGGTTGTAGCATAGGAGATCATGTATTTCACCATGCTTAACCTATGCATTTTCTCCTCCGGCCATTTACAGATTTGGTCCTGTCGATTCTAAACCTCACACGATTGCTGATAAAATCAAGTATCTGACGTATCTGAAATCTGATATCACCTATATATCTGATAAAATCAAAATCTGATATAGCTTAGCCCGTGTCCCACAATATTCATGCTGGCTTTTTGAGCAATACCGTTTCCTCTCAAATACGCTACACTCGGTTGTGTTCGCTTGTACCTCGATTCGCACATTGTTTTGTTTGCATGGTATGCACGTTGTAAAGCTATTTCACGTCCGTTTTGATCCCGATAGTAAGTAGGTGGTTTGGCAAGATGATCTGATTTTATTTGTGGCGTTCATCTTGAATGATGAATGATATATATATATATATATATATATATATATATATATATATATATACATGATTTGATGTGTACCTTGGATGGCATGTACGCAAGGTACTATTGTAGCACCACTTCACCACTTCATCCCATTTCATGCGAGCTCAATTATCATGTATATACATGCATATATATATATATACATGTATATACATGATTTGATATGGGCCTTGGATGACATGCACGCAAGGTACTATTGTAGCACCACTTCATGAATGGTGTCCCATTTCATGCGAGTTCAATTACGTGGCAGTTGAATTTCTCATGATTTTGACCAGCTCATGATAGTACAGTTTTCATAAACTTTGGCATGCATGTCCGAATGCATTTCTCATTCGCTGCGGAGTTGACCGCCCGAGTGGTAGGGATTTCTGGAGTTAAGAGATTGTAAAGCTTTCATGTACTGCCAGGACAACACGACCCAGACAATTTATCATTCAAGTTGCCCTGCTCGCGGCATCGAGGCTAAATAACGTAAAAAGTAGCATGATTTAGCAACTCCTACTTGATGAATAGCGTTGATATGCTTGATAAATACGGCATCTCTGCGGGTGATGTAGGTGCCACCAAACTGATCCATCACCGCTGTCTTTTACGTCGAGAAAAGCGGGGCGACTGAGCAGGCTAGGGCGGCAGCATCTGATCATGACGAGTTGAAACATTGCGGATCATGCTGACCGGACGTCAGAAGAAGCATTGTTTAGTCCAAAGACAGGCTGGAAGTCCTTGTTAGTGAGTTCCAAATGATACCTTATTTGGCACTGTCGTTGTTGGCGCATATCTTGCCGTCGTGGCAACTTTCTAGCCGTTTCCAACATTGGCCTTTCACTTCATCATTTTTTGTGATTTTCACACGTTTCGTAATTTTAGAGTCGGAACGGACGCCGCAACTTTACTTAACAACATTTACTGCTTGGTGCGTCATGACTTGGTGGTCGGCGCCGGTCGCTGCCGTCTGGTCTCCGGTTGAGTTTGATGAGTGTTGATGTTGCGCCATTCATAATCTAGGCTGTACTGACTATACTTGGCGACGAGCAAGTTGATGCCGCACAGATAACATGGCCCCACTTACTCATGGCACACGGAGTTTTTTTCGGCTCGTAAGTCGTAAAAGTTTCCAGATGGATAAATGATCGGGTCGAAAACAGAACCACTCTGTCGTGTGCGGCTCCACTTGAGAGCGCCATGAAGTCTCGCCCCTGGATTTGGCGCTGTTCCATTTCCAGAATGAGATGATCATCCATGATCAATGCATGAATTCTTGTGGGCATGATAAAACGGGGAAGGTTGTTTTGCCCGTAGGAAACCGTATCTGTTTTGGCTTTATGATGTCGATATCATTCAGGGTTAAGCCATTCGGGATCAAACGCAATAAGACCTGGAACGGCCCTGGCTGATGCTTTGGTTGCCACCATGATTTGGATGGGGTTAGATTGACTCAGTCCCGTGAATAACAAAACGGCGCGAATTCCGCACCATTGAAAGCAACTGCTTTCGACTAGAGCGGGCGGGTTATTCCAGTGATCCATATCAAGATTCTCTGCGTTAATGTTATAAAGGTGTATCTCTTAACATGCAATCTCCTGATTTTGGCACTGGAAATTTAGAGTGATATGCCTAGTTGCTTACATTTCATACAGCACGTTGATAATGACGCTAGTATTTTTATATCATGGAAGGAAATACTCATGTGAGACATGGCTTTGACTATTGTCAGCTGACGTGTAATTTGTGGAAGCGACGGGGCAAAATCTGCATGAAGGCGGACTAAGTTAGCAGGAAAAACGTACATCGTGCTCACAGAGTCTGAAAGCAGAGCCCCGATGGTACGAGGCTACACATCCATGTCGGCTGACGTCATGTCTGTGGCTGCAGGCCAACAGAGCTTTGATGGTACGAGGCCAAACATAGCTGTCGGACGAAGTCATGTCGGTGGCTGCAGGCCAACAGAGCCCCTATGGTACAAGGCCACACATCCCTGTCGGCTAAAGTCATGTCTATGGCTGCAGGCCAACAGAGCCCCGATGGTTCGAGGCCACACATAGCTGTCGGATGAAGTCATGTCTATGGCTGCAGGCCAACAGACCCCCTATGGTACAAGGCCACACATCCCTGTCGGCTTAAGTCATGTCTATGGCTGCAGGCCAACAGAGCCCCGATGGTTCGAGGCCACACATCCCTGTCGGCTAAAGTCATGTCTATGGCTGCAGGCCAACAGAGCCCCGATGGTACGAGGCCACACATAGCTGTCGGATGAAGTCATGTCTATGGCTGCAGTGCCCGACCAGACCCCCTATGGTACAAGGCCCACACATCCCTGTCGGATGAAGTCATGTCTATGGCTGCAGGCCAACAGAGCCCCGATGGTACGAGGCTACACATTCTTGTCGATTAACGTCATGTCTATGGCTGCAGGCTAGCAGCCCGACCGAGTACTTCTGGTACCGGGACACGCTGGACATCTCGTCGGACGTGAACTCACCACAGGGCTTCAACTGGCACATCGGCGGCTGCCTGCTGGTCGCCTGGGTCCTCACCTATCTCTGCATGGCCAAGGGCATCGCGTCGTCCGGCAAGGTCAGAGCACACGAGCTGCGACCGAGGTCAGGTCGGCCTCTGAGGACCAGTAAGCCCTCAGATTTAGAACATGAACGGCTGTGGTGTGTTAAGGCATGGGTCCGAGTTCGACCGGCAATGGAATCGATTCTCAAATCGTACCACCTCTTATTTCCCAGACCGGCAGCAACCACCACGTTACCGATACTCCGACCACTTCCCCATGTTCCGCTGCTGGGCTAAGGGGGACATTGTCACAAATTTAAAGGTCGCTCCCACTTCGGAGCGCAGATTAGAAGATCACCACACTAAATACAGGGCAACTTTGAAGCAATCGCAGCTTTAGCTTGCATTGCTTGCCCAGTTATGAATGCGATCCGATGCACGTCCGAATAACAGTTCGTTGGAAACGAGAGCAATAAAGAGTTGTTACAGGACGCGTCCATGCACCATTCAGGACGCCATCTTGCACTTTGTCTCGGACCAGATTTTTGACCTTATTTTCAAAAATTACAAAGCGTGATTAGCTACATCATTTTTATCAATGATGAGCGCTGCCACGTTCACGTACAAGAAGACCAATAACCACTTACATTCTCTGACGCTGGCAATGTCCTGGCACGCCACCAAACCCCCAGAAATGATTCAGATTACTGTACCATACAGTGGATGATACAATAGAGGCAAAATATGGAATGCCTGTTTCAGAGAGAACAGAGAGAACATCGTCACAGTCATAGCTACAGGCGCAACCACTGTACGTTCTCTCGGTCAGAGGTACATGTGCATTTCCTTTTCAGGTGGTGTACGTGACAGCCACCTTTCCGTACCTGGTGCTCATCATCTTCTTCATTAGGGGTGTAATGCTGGAAGGCATGGAGGATGGTCTTCGGCATCTCTTTACACCCGATGTAAGTGTCTCTTCCCGTCCTCTGTCCATCTCTCTCTCTCTCTCTCTCTCTCTCTCTCTCTCTCTCTCTCTCTCTCTCTCTCTCTCTCTCTCTCTCTCTCATCTCTCTCCCCTCTCTCTCTCTCTCTCTCTCTCTCTCTCTCTCTCTCTCTCTCTCTCTCTCTCTCTCTCTCTCTCTCTCTCTCTCTCGTCCTGTCTCTTTCGCTCCCTTTCTCTGTCTCTTACGCTCTGTGCCCACCCTTTTATCTCTCATTTTGTTCTCCCTCTACGTCTTTGTTCTTTTCACTTGTCTATCACTTTTCTTAAATATGTTACTCACTATCTCATTTGTGTTTTACTTTCAGCTTTCACCCTCGTCTTCCTTCCTTTTTCCCATTTCCCTCATGACCATTCTCTTAGCTCAAGAGGATTATCCCTCTTTCGCCAAACATGAACTGCCAGGGTACCCTCACACACCCCTCAGGTCCTTCCTTAATCACATCTTCTTGCTGTGTGTCACATCAGCTGTGGCTCTTTCTGAACTCAACCACACGAGCCTCACATTCGGCAATTATCAGCTCGCTTGGCAGGTCACAGAGATAATTGCTCATTTAGCTGTAGGAGAAGTTGTATAAGATTACTGCAGCATGATCTGGACGACAGCGACCAATTAACGCACAGTGCAGTGCACAATTGGTCGAGTACATCACTAATTCCCCATCAAGCTTTTCTCTTATTCTTCCTCCGGACATGCCGAGTCTCTTCTTGCCCATGAAGATCTTTTGCTACCCATCCGGGTTCTGTCTTTGCCGTAACTGTTAGTGCAGCGTGACGCTCTTTGTATTCAGAACGTTTCGCGAGCAACATAAGAGTCTCGCGTCTAACTACGCTGCTGTTTCCTCCGCACCTGCCCGTCGGATCGACCCGCACACAAAGGCTATTCGAGGCTGCTCAGACGAGGGTGAACGCGTAAGATCCGGACCATTCTGAAGGGCGCCGAGGCTGATGAATTCCTTTATGTAATAATGCAGTGAAAACCGATCTTTTGCTGATAGTTTTAGTGCTTTCAGACCCAATGTGATTAAATGTGTAGCTTCAATGCAATGACTTTTAATCAGTGCTTGCCAGATGTACGCTTTATGAATTCATACTGTACAAGTCATATCTATTGGCCCTTTTCTTTCAAAATCGACTGATTTTGAACCCATCGAATCCCATCGATCGAACCCATCCTGTAAATTTGGTATCTCTAGGTCTCTTGTTCCTCAGATCTCAGGGGGTCAAATTCCCCCCCCCCCACCCGAGCGAAGGGTATCCAACCGGCCACCCGGACGCCTGTTAATACACCAGCATACCATACTGGTGTGAAACATGCTAATAACGAATCACATTGGGGCAAGTAACAGGTGAGTTACTTACCATGAGCTCTGCAACGCAAAGCCTTCAGTAAGCACACCAAGAGGGCAAGAATTTCAGTAAAAACGTCCAAGCTTTCTCGCCATGTTTTTTGGGAAACGATATGACTTAACTCACGTTGCTATTACCGGCACGTGCCAAAATAGATAGAGTAGCTTGTCCACTTCAACACTAAGTTCTGAGCTTGTTCGATAAGTTACATTGTGTTTTACATTAAAACGCGGCTTGGTCTCATGTCTGGAACATTGGACATCATCGTCTTTTTAAAAGGAGTGCTCCACATTTGTATGAAGTATACAACTGGAATAGCCATCTTGACGATCATTCCGTGCAGTTCATGGCCTGCGCCTTCTTAAGACCTAAAAGTCATTAGTTCCTAAGCGACATGCCCGCAAAGATGTATAGACTACTTTGTACAGACTATTCCAAGGTTACACAGGTATCAATGACGCCACAACAGCGTAGTTCAAATCATACCATTCCACTAGCCATGTGGAGCTCAAGACCAAGAAGACATAATTGCTGATTCGTTCATATTTGGCATTCGTGGCCACGATTTCCACACATAGCGGCCGGCAACTGGTCTCAGCCAATTTTGTGCAATCTAAGCAAGAATCTAACACTCATGACGTTTTGTGGTTTGTTGCACAATAAGTTAAATATTCTTCTTGGTTATAACGAGAATAAGACTCGTTATCGAATAATTTCAGAATAGTGCTATAACCGAGCATGTGAATGCAAGACATCACCTTAAACTCAAGTGAAAACATTAATATAGCACCACGAGAAAGGACCGAAACACGACCACATAGCGGTATTTGGTTCAGTTCACATCCAGCACCAGCACGAGCTACCTCTCGGGAGACTGAAAAACTACAAGTGGGTGTTATCGTGCAAACGTTCCATGATGAACTCAATATGAAAAGGTTTGTTGTCTAGAGCAAACTTTTCCACTAAAAAACATACCTGTAGTGATAAGTCATTTTATTTCATCATATGTAATGCTTGCTTCAATATCGCTTAAATCAAGTGTATATGCGAGGAACATTATACATATAGCTAATTCGCGCCCCGCCGGGGAAGTTGCCTTCCCCTACGGTTTTTCGAGTAAAGGCAAAACAAAGCGCTCACATCAACACAAGATTTTATTGACCCCTTCTTCTATCAAGTTAGCGTTCTTTGTGCAAAATTTAAATTTTCAACTACCAAGATCAGCGACCTAAGTCAAGTCAAAGAGGTTAACCACTTAAAAACTGACCACACAAAGCGTTTTTGATGGTCATTTGCCATCGCACAACCTTGTTAGGGTAAAAGAACATGATGGTGCCTGCAGTTTGGGTATTCCAGATTTTTTAAAGTAAACGAGGTCAGGGACCTGTGGTCAGGCCATCTTTTCGGATTTTCATAAATGATGCAAATTTGCACGCATTTTTGTGTGGTTTTAGTGTTTTTATACGAGGAAAAAAGTGCTTACTCTCATTCCTAGCCATTATATGATCACAGAGCACATGACATTGGCTCAGTTCATGACCTACTTTTATGATTACCTTCTGGAAAACATATGCTGAGCTCAACGTAGGCAACTTTATTAGGTAATTTTGGAGGCAGCATTCGAATTCTCCACTAAAAGTATGTTGTGATATCATTATGATGCATAATAAGGTCACAACAGATCACGTAAGAACATGCAAGGTAATATGAGGTCAAGGTTATCGAATGTCAATGACATGTGCTAGAGGTAGGTGATCGAGTGAGACGCATGTAACCACCTTCTTCTCGTGTTTGTAAAGCTATTGAAGTATAATTTCATGTGCCAATGTGTCTATTTTCAGTTTGTTACAAATCATTGCCAAGCGTGGAAGGAACTATGTATATTGTAGACAACAGCTGTGCGTTCCTGAGTACCTGTAGATGTAAAACATAACACACACGAATCTGCTACTCATATTCGTTTCTAAAAAAAACGTGTAGACGAAACATCAGTGCCTCTATCCCTCCTTTCTCCTGATTATGATACGAGGAATAAGGATAACAATAATGTCTTATTGCGCTTCAATATCTTCAAATGTGGAAAGTTCCCTTCAATTCATTTTCGGCTGTACATTCATTTTATTATATTCTTTATTTTGTATTCATAATTGTTGTTTTTAACTTCACCGCTTAGCTGTTAATCCTTGTTGCAAGGCCCGCTTCCAAGATAGCCTACGGCGGCCGGCAGCCACGACTCGGCCGTTCGCAGCACCTAGTGACCCACTGACGAAAGGGGCCCTCGAGAACCAGCGCATACCCTGAGCTCGCGTTCCTCGATAGGAAAATTCGGTCCTGGTGACAAGCCGCCATGATCCCAGTATTGCTCCCTCTCGCGAGTTCTAAAGCTCAGAGATGATCATTACTGGTCAAAAACGCTCTAACCGGACCGATCTAAAACCAGGTGTTACGGGTGTGATTTATTAGTTGTTTGTACTGTACATTCTTCACGCACTTCATCGAGGTGTAGTGGTTAACGCGCTTGACGCGCCCGCACAAGCGTAGTAATTACTCTATTGCGCGCTTTGGTAGGTGCCCTGAGTGACGTCATTCTTTTTCCGCGTGCAAAACTGCCAACAAATTGTCTACATTGCCGGTGGTAATAAGTAATTCAAACGACCGTGGACAGTAAGTGATCACCGAGTTATTATTGTCCGGGTCTGCAGGAAGGCTAGCATTGCTATGCAAGGTACATGCATGCCTTTTAGGTAAATCTACCCCAATGTCATCCCTGTCAAAATACTCTCAAGCTGCACCGCAAAAATCGGCATGGGACATCGTGGCTGAATACAGCATCAGGTAGAAAAGAAATCACCGCATGTTTAATTGATATGCTGCGGGCTGCCGCGATTGTGTGCGATGAACTGCCAAAGGACACATTGCTTGTTCAGTGAGGACAAAGGAAAGCACCACTGTTCCTGGTGGCTGTGCAGAGTCAGGGTGCTAAAGCCTACGGTTGCTGTGCGCAGTTCCAGATGCTGAAGGACCCGGTGGTCTGGCTGGAGGCGGGCACGCAGATCTTCTTCTCGTTCGGCCTGGGCTTCGGTGGCCTGATTGCTTTCTCATCGTACAACCCGCCTGACAACAACTGCTTCCGCGACGCCGTCACCGTCGGCCTCCTGAACGCCGGCACCGCCATGTTCGCCAGCATTGTCGTCTTCTCCGTGCTAGGTGGGTCACCAGCCGCTCTTGCGGGCCGTATATGTCTCATCAAAGGAATCTCTTGGCGAGTCGCAGATGTTTCAATGATTGTGCGCTGCGAACATAAAAAGGTGTATTCTTTGATTGATCGACAATGCCCTTAAAAGCACATTATAAGAAGCTCGTGTTAGTAGCGCGAGATGAGGCTCGTCATATGATCTGTTGTGTCCTTAATCGAATAATTTTCCCCTTCTCAAAATCCCCATGCACACCTCAGCTAACGCCCCGATTACAAAGGGAACATGTTCCACGATTTTTCTTCTACGGAGAACAGATTCCAGATGCCACTTCAATAATTCGGTCTTCCCCGGCAGCTCTCCCCTCCCCATGTCCCATATGTGTTGCATTAGCCTGAACGTGCCAAAAGATAGCGTCTTCATTGAGCCGGCCGTCTTAGCCGTCTAATGACGATGGGGAGAGGAAATCCGCCACCAGCTGGCATATGAGGCGAGGACTTCAATGTGCCGGGAGAATGCCGCCGGAGAATGGTGGGGTGTCGAGGCTCTGACTGGTGGGGTGTCGAGGCTCTGACTGGTGGAGTGTCGAGGTTCTGCGTGATAATGCCGCCAGACTGGTGGGGTGTCGAGGTTCTGCGTGATAATGCCGCCAGACTGGTGGGGTGTCGAGGTTCTGCGTGATAATGGTGGTGCATGAGACCGGCCAAAGATACTTAAGCATGCATATATATGCATGTATGTCCTCCTCCCCCCCCCCCCGGCCGAGGGGAGGGGGAGGAGGGGAAGTTGACTTACCCTCTGCGGTATTTCGAGCACAGGTCAAAAACGGACGCTTGCAGCAACACGAAATTTAAGATCAGTGGCCAATGTCAGATCAAAGAGGTCAGCCCCTAAAAAACTTGACCACACATAATTGTTTTGATTGCTTGCCATTGTTTAAATTTAGTACATTAACAGAACGTGATAGTACCTGCGATTTGTCTATTTCACATTTTTCGGAAAATGCGAGGTCATTGATCCAGGATCCAGGTTCCAGGCAGCCAAGTAGATGTTTGCAATTTGTTCGTATATAATGCAAGTTTGTACGTATTTTTGTGTAGTTTTGGTGTCATGCTCACATGTGCAACCATCAAATAATCACAGCACATATGATCTTGGCCCAGGACATAACCTTTTTCTATGGGTACCTTCTGCAAAGCAGATGTTGAGCTCAACATGGACAGTTTTATTAGGTAATTTTTGATGCAAATTTGGAAACCACCGTTGAAAACATGTTAAATATAATTATAGTGCATAATGAGATCACAGTAGGTCATGAAAGGTCGTCATATTAGGTCACTCAAGGCCAATGGCGTTTGTTGCAAATAGCAAAGAAATTGGATGAACAAGTGCGACGTGTACAACCACCTCCCTGCCGTGTTTGTGAAGGTGATGGCGTCTAATATCATGTACCAACGTACCTTTTCTCAGTTTGTTGCAAATACATTGCCAAGCATCGAAGGGACTATGTACAATGTAGACAAGAGCTATACGATCTTGAATACCTGTAGATGTCCAATATATCATTTCTGACCCCAAAAAGTATGGTACTGGTCACATAGACCCTGTTAGAACTTCAAAAATTTGCCTTCAAATGGTTTATGAACTCCACCTAAGTTGACCTCGTTGACCTTTAGGTCACCCTGAATGAAAATTTGGTGTCTGGAATACTTTTTCTTATATCTATACGTAATGAAATAAACTTAATCAGAAGCACATTGTGAAGAAAAGTACCTTTCTTGTAAGCCCCTGGTGGATCAATTTTGAACAGTGACCTAATCTGACCTGACCTATGTGGGGGAACAGACATGACTGGAATGAAGTCCCACAGTCTTAACGCTGATTCCGTATCCTTAAGATGCGTCCTGATGCGTTTGCATAGCTTTCAAGTGCATCCATCAAAACGACTGTTTTTGACCTTTCGTGGCCTCTGGTGACCTAGCATTTGGCCTAAAGTAAAAAATTCGGGGTGCATTCTTCATGGTTTGATGAGACCTTTAAGAGGGTATCTTATTTTCCTCATACAGTGTGTGAAAGTTGGAGATCCCGGGGGAGGGGAAGTCAACTTCTCCCTGGCCGGGCGCGGTTGTCTGAAACCACCGACTCGGCGCGGGTTAGTAGATCAACAGGTACTAAAAATGTCGTGCTACTGCAACCGTTAGCTCTTGATCCGCGCCCAAAAACAGTTGGAGGAGGTCTGCTTCCCCCCGGCCGGGCCTGGATCCACCACATCACCATCGGTAATTCGAATCAAGTGAGCCAAGTTCTGCAACCCCGAGGTCAGATGAGGTCATTGACCCGAGACTTTTTACGGAAAGTCACCTTCGTCACTAAATCTGATCTATAGCATCTTTCTTTGCTCTACTTAACCGAAATGCATCATTTCCGGGAAAGGAAATGACCGATACCAGAACTCTTTAATATTCATCATGCGAAGAGGTTCCCACTTGACCCGCTGTGGTCGGTCACGGATTGAAATGGCACAGTTCGCCGCTGCGTAATTAACTGCAAAAGACACAGCGAAAGGTTATGTCATCGTCGGCTGGGCGCGGCGTTACGTAATTTACGGACAGTGCTTGGGGAAGTCACGATTGTCCATGATTTGACCTATACTCAAAATTTGTTCGTGACGTGTGTGATCATCTGTTGACCCAATAAAAAAGAGGATACCACTGGGGAACATAAGCAACAGGCAGCGCGGTGGTCTTTATCACATCGTTCTTTCTTAGCTTCTAAACGGCCTGGAGGGGAGAGGGGGCAATTGGCTTCCCCCAGTAGGGCGTATATTTTACCAGCAATGATCTTCGACATAAGTGCGTGGAATTTGCAAATATGAAACGTAAATGCATGCATAATTTGCAACCTAGTGTGTCGAGAGCGTAGCCATCTGTTGATGTGCTCTACACGCCGCCCTACGCTGCTCAAACCTTCAGTTAATCCCACGCGCGACCTCGCAGACAACATATGAGCTTGTCGCGCGGGTGCTGGCCTACCCACACTGCTGCCTCAGCAGATAAACAAGTCCATAAAGAAAGCGAGACCCAGCGGGGTGCCAGAAGCCAGTTCTGTTGCAACCCAGCGGCCGTCTGTAACTGCACCGAGCTGCCCTGGTGTTACTAACAAACATATATGCCGTACCGCACACACACACACACACACACACACACACACACACACACACACACACACACACACACACACACACACACACACACACACACACACACACACGCGCGCGCGCGCACGCACGCACGTACGCACGCATATATATATATATATATATATATATATATATATAATAGTAATATATTATATATATATACATAGAGATAGAGACGAGAGAGAGAGAGAGAGAGAGAGATGAGAGCAGAGAGAGAGAGAGAGAGAGATAGAGAGAGAGAGAGAGAGAGGAGAGAAGAAGAGAGAGAGAAGAGAGAAGAAGAGAGATAGAGAGAGAGGAATAGAGAGAAGAGGAGAGAGAGAGAGAGAGGAGAGGAAGAGAGAGAGAGTGAGGAGAAAGAGAGAGAGAGAGAAAGAGAGAGAGAGAGAGAAGAGAGAGAGAGAGAGAGAGAGAGAGAGAGAGAGAGAGAGAGAGAGAGAGAGAGAGAGAGAGAGAGAGAAGAGAGAGAGAGAGAGAGAGAGAGAGAGAGAGAGAGAGAAAGATAGAGGAGAGAGAGAGAAGATAGAGAGAGAAGAGAGAGAGAGAGAGAAGATAAGAGAGAGAGAGAGAGAGAGAGAGAGAGAGAGAGAGATAGAGAGAGAGAGAGAATAGAGAGAGAGAGAGAGAGAGAGAGGATATATGTATTATATAACATATATATAATATATATATATATATATATATCTATATATAATATATATATATATATATATCTATATATATATATATATATATATATATATATATATATATATATATATACTCATATGCACCTAGATTTTGTATCATGAAAGGACATACTGCTGGTATACACCTTGGTTCACGATGGTTCGGCCAATCTCTACGTTTAAGATGCGTTCGGGTGGGTGTCAAGTTAAACCCCGGAGGGTTTTCCAAAATTATTTTTGAAAAGCGCGACATCTTCGCCAAAGGCACGTCAAACTTCGCACAGCTGTAGAGCATTGAATTGCGGATCTTTTGATGCACAAAAATTACATTTACCTTGTAAGGTCGCTGACCTCTGGCAGTTCAAGGCCGTAGCTGTCAGCGAGGGGCACTTAAAGGAAACTGTTCAATGTGTTGCGACAACGGAGTGTTGGGCAAAATAATACATAACTGGGATAGTTTCTTACGTAACAAAAAAAAAAAACTTTAAAATTACGGCCAATACCGCTGACCTTGCGGCAGGTATGAAGGTCCGACCAACCTGATTTTTACTTGAAGGCTTGGTTCATGGAGTAGTTTCTGATGCTCATTTTGAATTTAATTATAGCAGAGACCGTAAAATACTTGTTCCATGAATTTTTTTCACTGTCGGATTTGGTCACTGACCTGAGAGGATCCCGTCCAACATTATGCTTTTAGCAACATACCGCCTAGCGTAATCTCTGACACTTATGGCAAAATAGGGACAATCTCGTGTGTATTTTGTCAGCTGGCCGCACCAAGGTCAGATAAGGCCATTAACCTCAGTTGAACATAATTTAATTTTTCCTTAGAACGGATATCTGGCTTCATGACGGTGGCATGTGGAGGTGTAGGGACACTTGATACGCCAATTTGGAGTTTGACACTGTTTTACCTAAGTTGAACCAAGGTCATGACATAGGAGCCCGAAATTTCGACGCAAGCGAGTTCACATACAGTTCCCCCCCCCCCCCTGTGAGTAAGGTATGTCCGCTATCTTAGTTTTTGAGAGCGTAGGGGGTCAAATAGACCCCCCACTCGAGCGTAGGGTATTCAACCGGCCGCCCGGGCGCGTGCTAAAACTATCGGAATTGTCATCCGTGGCTTCTCATTTGATCCGAACGATTTAATAACTACACCTTAAGGACACGTCTCCAGATATAAAACACAAAACATTGTTCCGCCGGCAGGTTTCAAGGCGCACAACACGCACAACCGGTGTCTGCACGCCCGGGAGCTGGAGCTGAACGCCAGCATCGCCAGCTACCTGGGCGCCGGTGCAGCCACCGACGTCACCGTGCCGCCAGACGTGTACGATCGCATGATGGCCGGCCTGCGGGAGTGCGACCTGCAGGAGGAGCTGGCTAACGTGAGTGTCAGTACCTCTTCCCTGCATCTTCGGATGCGGCCTGCAGCAGTGGCTGGTCAAGGTCAGTGTCAACGCCCCTCCCCAGGTGTGACCTGCGGCAGTATCTGGTCAAGGTAAGTGTCAACGCCCCTCCCCAGGTGTGACCTGCTCAGTAGCTGGTCAAGGTCGCTGTCAACGCCCGTCGGACGGACCCAAAGCAGCGGTGAAATGCTGGGTCTTTCTAGCGTCAGGGCACAAAATGGACAATTAGTCCTATCGCTAGTCGGATGCTACTTGCTTTACGCAAACAAAGACAACCCCAATAGGCACCCTGTCACAGAACAGGGTGCCTATAGTGATCATTCACACACTAACGTCCAATGTGATCATGGTGTGACAACATTCCTTCAAGTGTTTTAAAAGGGTTATAGCTATTTTGATTATCTGATTGGCAATGCCACATCCCAATTTTGCCAAATTTTTGCGGGGACGTCCAGCTTCTTTTTGGTGGGTTTGACAAAAGTGTGCAGTCTAACACGCAACTCGCTATCAGTCATGATTCTAGGCGGCTAGTGTGCGTTTACCATTACCTGTTGTTACTGGCTCATCGTTCATCACTGCTGCTGCGGCGGCTCCCAGGGACCGGACAGCGGTGGACGGTCCATTCCCGTCCGTCCTCATCGCACCACTGACACCAAACTTTTCTTACCGCTATCAATTTCATCTGCAAGGGAACTGATCGCAGCCGTGTGGCGATCGAGACAGACGAGAGTAATTACTGCGTTACATACGGGTATATGAAATAACCCTATGGGTGTGATCGGTAGAAACGTATATGTGCATCATATTTAAGTCCGTAGAGGCAATCGTTCATATATACTGTGGCGGCATGGTGACTACAGCGTCCCGTTCGAAGTGAAAGTCTGGATTTGTAATGGCGGGTGGCCACACATTGCATTGACACAGCCATAGCTGGCGACAGGCCAAATAGCGGTGTGGATGGTTCCAGCTGGCACTGCACGCCAGTGCATACTGCAGTAAAGCCAGAGGCTCACTCAGCGCTTAAGCATTGCGAGAATTAGGGACTCCGCAGTGACGTCACAGCCGCAAATGCACAAGAACTGTCAGCAGAATCGTGCCAACACAGAACGTTTTGTGTCAGTGGGCCAGGGGTGGTGGTTGTGAACTTCGGAGGAGTGTGGTAGACTTTTTATTTATATGAGAGAAGTATGGTGTATGGGTGTTTTATTTGCAACGTAGTTTCTGTTTTGTGTACATTAGCATAGATTGTACGCAATACATATCAAGTGCGAGGGATTTAAACTGTATTGGCTATCACAGCGCAATTGTTGGGTTTAATTTGGCGCTTAACAAAATTGTGCAATTCGCATGTAACAATTTAAGGATCACAAGACAAAAGAGCGATAACCCACCTATCGACATACAAAAGAGTCGAACACCGGATAACGCTGCGTAGGTTATGAACCGCGCAAGGTATGGATTCCACCAAATATCGGCGTGCAAAATGTGAGCACCGTAAAAAATTGCCACGCAAAATATTGATGTGTCAATTATCGACACCGCAACTAGTTATACTCCTTCTATTTCGAGCGCGGTCGTTGCTACGACTAAAGAAGAGTGACATGAATGTGGTAACGAAAACATTTTGACTGATGGCATACTCTCCCAGCGTACTGATCACACAAACTGTAGAGATTTCAATTAGCCGACGGCAAAAATTGGTCCAGGAACTCCATATGCATACTAATCTATGCAATAGCGCAATACGTGGCGACTTCTGGCGAAGTGCCTCAGACACCAGGAGTAGCGGCTACAGAGGCCTGGTAGTGACGAGTATGCTCAGTCCGGTGTTGTGTCCAAGATCCCATGGTATGACGGATCGTAGTGCCACCGCTTGGAACGCACGTTAGCAGCTGCACCCTTTACCAGGCGCCGCACCGAGCGGAAACGGCAGTGAGAGTTGGAACCCTATGGCCAGAGCGTCAGATGATGCCATATTCTCTCGTCTCCGCCTGCAACAGAGATTTTCACATCTGACGACAAATGGGATCAAAAGAGGAACAGGAAACGAAACTTACCGGACTTTTGTCACCGTAAAAAACAAAATAGTCGCTGGCAATTTGTGTGCTTTGCAAATGAAAACGTATGCTCTTACAATGGACTCACATGGAATTTAGGAGTCACGTGAACAGGATTGCTGTGATGTCCGGGCATTAAAGCTTAGCAACACTCTGGCATGCGATTTATTTACGGAAATATTTTAAAATTACTAGGAGCCTAGTGGATTTGGTGCCTTAGCATCAAAGGTGGAGACATCATGAAACTAGGCATTTTTTCGTGCGATGCAGTGGCGCTTTAAAGCCTATCCAGAAGTCGTCACAGGACGTGATAGCTACCTGTTTCCAGTTCATTAGATTGAGAGATGAGGGAAGCTCCAACTAGTAGTTACGACATGATCATCGCAACAAAGGAGCATTGCTCTGACTTGTGCAACCCCGGATAAGAGCACGTCATTAAAGGGATTTCAGTGCCACTTCTTGAGTCCGAAGATTGAACCGAGTGATTGGCTTGGGTAAGTCACTTGATCTCTACTGGAGTCATGCCTTCATATGGTAGCACTGATCCAGCCGCTCCTTGTGCGACGAGACAGCCGTTATTCTAAACTTGTTGGAGCGTAGTCCGGTTTCTGAAAGGCGACGGGACTTTTGATGGATTGCTATCGCTGTCGGGCACTCGGTTACCTGTAGCCATCATCTTAAGTGACGATAGATTACACCGAAGTTTGGCAGGGCCACACACATAACGCGAGTGAGGACGGATTTCAGCGTCGACACTAGCCAGCTGGGCTTCGTGCGCCGTTATCTTAGGTGCGGTGTTGCACTACTGCAGTCCCCGCTCATTCCCAATATCAACACGCTCTTCCAGAAGCGTGATGCTAGCAATGCTCACCAATCTAGCGTGGTCGAGCGATTACAAGCATGCATTTGTCTGTGCACAGTATGCGACTAGATCCACGTTCAAGTCCGCTCACCCACTCCAAGTTTCCAGTCCTCTCCACTGATACCGCATAACGGTGCTACCCAGTTTGTGTTAGGTCCGTTTCAACGCGACGTTCTTCAAAGGCCGCGCTTTTTTCGGCGAGCACTTTGCTCTGCGGCGCTGGGTCCATCCCTGCACGGGCGGCCGCCTTCCGTGGAGCACGGCCGCCCACCCGCGCCACGCCGCTCCTCGCCAGCCACACTGCAATCTGACCCTGTCAGTGGCTCTCAAACTGTCCTGCATGCAGACGGTGGTGCCCTTCACACTCCAAGCGATATGTAGTCGCCACTCTGTACGCTAGTTGACGTGACGTCGATGAGGATACAGAGCGTCCTGCTCCCTCAGTCCGGCTCCGGCACCGGCCTGGCCTTCATCGTGTTCACCGAGGCCATCAACCAGTTCCCAGCGGCGCCGTTCTGGTCCGTGCTCTTCTTCCTCATGCTCTTCACGCTCGGCATCGACTCCGAGTTCGGCACGCTCGAGGGCGTCATCACGTCCATCGTCGACCTTAAAGTGTTCCCCAACCTGCGGAAGGAGGTGCTCACGGGTCAGTTCGCATGCAGTGTGCGCAGCGTGTTCGATCTTTATCATCTTTACGCTTTAGCATATTTGTTACGCTTATTTATTTGGTCTTATTATTACGCTTATTTAGTTAGCCTAAAAGCTTATTTATCTGGCCTAAATCACTAATTTAAGAGTGTAGTCTGTCTGTGTGTTTGTGCGTCTGTCTATCCCCCTTCTAGACAGGTATGGGGCACAAACAACACTACCCATTGCGGTGAAATTTTTGGTTTATGATTGCTCCATCTTGTGTACATAATCAAAAGCTATATATAGCATAAATTCGCGCCCGTCCGATGCTGGCGTGGCGGCCAAAGCACGTGCGAGAAGGGAGCATGTGCTGACATTTAGGAGGAAGACTTTTCAGACACACGAGGAAGCAAGCTACGCGACGGCAAACCGATGAAACAAATATCACAACAGCTCGTGCAACTTTTTGCGTGTGGATTAGAAGACGTGGGAAGGGGGCATGTGTTAGCAGTGAGACCCGTTTCAGATAAGCAAGAAAGCAAGTTACGCCACAGTCAAACCGCTGAAGGAATATTTTAACAGCTCGGGAAGCGATAAATTTAGTATCTCTGTTTATGATCCTCATTTGTAGGAGAATACCGGTGCATACCAATCCCGTCAGTGATATGACATACTTAAACAGTCTCCCAAGCGGTTTAAAGCTGATCACGGAACACCGGTCCGAGAAAAAAGCGCAGCACTATGAAGCCTTGATTTCTTTACTTTCTTAGTTGTTCATGGCTACTTTTATGGTAGAAATGTTTAAAACGTTTAGAATGTACGTACATAATCCGCCGTGGTTAACGCTACTAGCGTTCGTGCTTTATCCCGTTTTTTATCAATCATCGTTCGTGCTTGCTGCACGTTTGCACAATAGGCCGCATTTCACACCTCTGCTGAAACTGTCGTACCCGGAGCCTCAATCTCCATTACCGATTAGCCTCTGTGCTGTGCAGGCATCATCTGCGTCATCTGCTTGCTGCATCTCGATGGTGTTCGCGCACGGTGCAGGAAACTACCTCTTCATCTTGTTCGACGACTTCAGTGGGAACCTGCCGCTGCTCATCGTGGCTCTCTTCGAATGCTTCGGCATCGCCTGGGTCTACGGCCTGAGGAGGTACGCCTCTTACCAGCTCCGGACCTTGAGGGCTGAGCTGCTGCAGAGCGTGATAGTCCAAACTGTTATCGCCATTATCGAAATAGATGCTGCATGCGTTGAACATCATGGCCGTGAGGTTAATTAACGGTAATTCCTTGGTGCCCCCCCCCCCGATTTACCCCACTTAAGTTTAATAGGTCTTTGGCCCTGACGAAAATCTGCTTACGTGCCATTCCCCGAGTAAAACATTTGTGATGGTAGGTGCGACGGGGCCGTGCAGCCAAAAACATCAGCTGTTGTATGAGACACAAGCTCAAAGCGAGTCGGTGGCGTTGACAGGAAAGGCTAGCTGGGATAGTTTATCACACTGTGCACTGCGCTACAGTCCTGCGATTGTTCAGCTGACCGCGGCTTTAGCTAGCCGGTGTGGAGGAACGCTGATTAGAACCAACAGAGCTAATGGGGTGTTCTGAGCGGACAACAGTAGCCTTTTCACGCTGGTATTTGTGCTCAGGGACCTTAGTTGGTAACGAAGCTGAAACGCACCAAAACTAGAATCAACAGGAGCGATACCTTTGGTATGTCGTGATACTTACCAATGTTTCTTCATTTGACTTGCCCTCCAGAAGCGCCCTTGTTTCATCGGAATGTGCTTGTTCATCATTTCACGTGTGCAGTCCTGTAGGTTTTGGTATCATGTGACCAAATTTGCGAAAGTAAAATGGCAAACAGATGCATGCTAAGAAAGCTTCCGTGGCAAAACTCACAAGCTGTTTTGGTGGACCAGATGCCAACTGAGAGGTTCCACTCCAGTATATTTTAGTTTTCGTGCACTTCAGTTTCATACTCAACCAAGCCCCTGTCTAATAATGTAAGCGTGAACAGGGTCCATCTGAACCACGAGCCGGATAGGCGTTCAGCCGGGTGAGCAGCGGGGCCCTGGCGCGTGACCTGGCCTCTCTCACTATGCACCGTAAGGTTGCTATGTGCCCGCGGTGGCCTGGCGCGCCTGTGCTCCGATGACGCGTGCAGATAGCAGGGCGGGTGTCAGATAACCAGGCGTGTCCGGTAACCACGCACGGCGTCTGTCGTCGCGCGTGCTCCGCCCCACCAGCGGCAGACACCAGCGACCCGAGCCTGCCCGAACCAGGGCGCTAACAGGCACTGCAGCCGGCGCTTCATCCCAGGGAATAGAAGGAGGCTGCGGAAGTCGGCTGAGCCGCGTCGCGTGTCGTCTAACCGTATGACGAACACATTCGACAGTTGTGAAATTGCATGAAAACTTGTGAGTCTTCATTGTACATCATTCTTCCGTGCTGTTATTGTGATATATATATATATATATATATATATATATATATATATATATATATATATATATATATATCTCTCTCTCTCTCTCTCTCTCTCTCCTCTCTCCTCTATATATATATATATATATATATATATATATATATATATAGAGAGAGAGAGGAGAGAGAGGATGAGAGAGAGGGAGAGAGAGAGGGTATCGGAGGAGAGAGAGAGAGAGAGAGGAGAGCAAAGGAGGAGAGAGAGAGGAGAGGGAGGAGAGAGAGGAGAGAAGAGAGAGAGAGAGAGAGAGAGAGAGAGAGAGAGAGAAGAGAGAGCGAGAGAGAGAGAGAGAGAGAGAGAGAGAGAGAGAGAGAGACGAAGTGTGCATATGAAATAGCAACGTTATAACATATTAATCTATATATACTGCCTTGCTATTCTGCCATGAAGATTGATCAAGGTTCTTAAATTAGAATGGGCACCAATAAGGTGCATATGTTACGGAATAAGTCATAACATCAATATTATCAGTGTACATCCCCCTCGCCACCAAAACAAAACAAAAAAAAAACAAAAAAACAAAACTGTAGCGTAAATCTCATCCGTGGCTTAGCAATGCAGGCAGCGGTGTCCGGCCGCCTCAGACGCTGGCGCGGCGCCGGTCCCGTCCGCGGGCTCAGGCCACACCGCTCGTCTCGACGGCAAATGAGGCGCGGCCGGCGACCGGCGACCGGCGGAGGTCTCGCCGCGTGGCGCCGGTGATATCTCCCGGTGCCGGCTCGGCCAGCGTCGCCGCGGGGCGTCTCGTCTCGGTCGCGTCAGACCTTGTTTGTATCGAGCCGCCTCTTCATCAGGGCACGCCGTTCCACGCAGATAGCTCGTCTGGGTGGGTGGACCGCGCGCAGAGAGAGCTCCGCCCAGCTATTTGGCACGCGTGGCAGATCACAGATGATAACCTGCGGCGGCGGACATCATTAAGGCGTGTAGGTTTTGGCTTGTGGCTCTGCGAAGTGCCGCGAATTAAGCAGACGACGAGACAACAGCTAAAGCCTTGGCTCTGGTGATTCCCTCTGTTATGACCTGGTTGAAACCGAGAACAATAACAAACACAAATTTGAATTACACTTCATACCATTTAAAATTGGTCAAACGAATGTGACTTTATCATCATTGTGTCGTCTATAACGTATTATACCTTTCGCTGCGAGGTGTCTTACGTACTTACTGGTACGATTTCAAATGCAGCCTGAATATTTAAACAGGCTTGGCCATGTGCTACAGCCGCTTGTAACACCTTCCCAGATCACCGCAGCGATGATTCGTGCGTTCATTGCGCCGTCTGCTTCTCGTAATCCAAGCGCACTGCTTCCTCGGTGCTATTTTAGTGAAGATGGCCTGCTGCATTTGATTATTTTTACACCCATCTGACCGGACGGTCAGAGGGTAGGTTGTAAGTCATACGAACACTACAACAGCACTCGCCAGTCCTCGTGGCGCTTGTTCACTCCGAAATCACAATGTCGGGGGCATGTGCTCAAACTCTAAACAAATGCTTAGACGTCAGACCTCCGCCCCAGCAATGGCTCTCGTCGCTCGATGCCGCCTGCATCGTAGTGTTATTCAGGATCCTTTACTCGTGAACAGCTCATTTTATCACCTGAGTTGTAACAAATAAGGCTAAATAACATTGCAGCCATCGTAACCAGCGTAACGGCTTGGTAGTTTTTCGTCCCCAGATAACTGGTGCATCCTAATAACTGAGGTAGTTCCACTCTCCTGCGCGCCTGTCTGAATTCATTACGTTAGGTGGAATGGAGGCAGAAACATGGCTTTGTCGGCTGCACGAATCGTGAAATTATGAATGCCCGGTAAATTTTTAAGCATTTCGAACACGTTTCAGCAGTTGGTCGCTGAAGTCGCCGCTTCATGGGTGGGGTTCATTTTTCCTGGTAGCGAAGGAAGCGGATTTCACTTGTGTAAGTACTTAACAGAATACAGTTACTGTTCAGACAGATACGGACAGATGCTGTTCGGAAACATAACACGTTTGGATGGACAGGTTCTGTGACGACATCGAGATGATGACGGGAAAGCGGCCTCACTGGTACTGGCTGTTCTGCTGGAAGTACCTCTCACCTTTCACAATGATCGTCATCCTGGTTGCCTCCATCGTCAAACAAATCAAAGATGGCGCAGGGTAAGTAACTGGGGGTTTGGTGTAGACCGCCAGGCATGGTGAGGTTCAAAATCGTCGGTCAGCTTGAGCTCATTTGAGCAGATTCCAAACACCTCAGGGCTATGACTGTTTATTCCACGAGCCCTCCCAAAGACCATACGGATATTCCGATCTTTCCTTCGGCCAGATTTTCTGTCCCGTGCTCCGCCAGTGCTCTTGGAATAGCACCCCACCCTCTTTTTTTCGCATGCACTCGCCTGGCGCGCCCACGTTCTCTCAATCTGACAGCAGCAGTAAAACCTAGCAGCCGATTGCTGGCTGAATGCCTTTTGGCTGTATGCAGCTGGTGCCCAGCGCCGATGAGCGCCGCGGACCCGGGTCCGCCTGCCGCCCGGGCTCTGCCTTCCAGCTCTGTGGCTGTATGCAGCTGGCGCCCAGCGCCGATGAGCGCCGCGGACCCGGGTCCGCCTGCCGCCCGGGCTCTGCCTTCCAGCTCTGTGGCTGTATGCAGCTGGCGCCCAGCGCCGATGAGCGCCGCGGACCCGGGCCCGCCTGCCGCCCGGGCTCTGCCTTCCAGCTCTGTGGCTGTATGCAGCTGGCGCCCAGCGCCGATGAGCGCCGCGGACCCGGGTCCGCCTGCCGCCCGGGCTCTGCCTTCCAGCTCTGTGGCTGTATGCAGCTGGCGCCCAGCGCCGATGAGCGCCGCGGACCCGGGTCCGCCTGCCGCCCGGGCTCTGCCTTCCAGCTCTGTGGCTGTATGCAGCTGGCGCCCAGCGCCGATGAGCGCCGCGGACCCGGGTCCGCCCGCCGCCCGGGCTCTGCCTTCCAGCTCTGTGGCTGTATGCAGCTGGCGCCCAGCGCCGATGAGCGCCGCGGACCCGGGTCCGCCTGCCGCCCGGGCTCTGCCTTCCAGCTCTGTGGCTGTATGCAGCTGGTGCCCAGTGCCGATGAGCGCCGCGGACCCGGGTCCGCCTGCCGCCCGGGCTCTGCCTTCCAGCTCTGTGGCTTTATGCAGCGGGCGCCCAGCGCCGATGAGCGCCGCGGACCGGGGCCGCCGCCGCCCGGGCTCTGCCTTCCAGCTCCCGCCCCTGCCCACCCTGGACTGAGCCAGCAGAGCCTGGCGCTGCCGGTCCAAGTACGCCGTCAGTAATCACAGTCAGATTCCGTGGGGGTGCAGCTGTCGTGCTCAGAGCTGGTGGTTGTGCGGGCCGGCCGGCCGAACAGTGCAGACCGAGTGGGGGTGACCGTCATACAACAAGCAGCAAATATAACTGGGAACAAATCGCCAACACGGGCCTGAAACACAGGCAACGCTGGATTATGGTGGCCGTAGCTTCAGTTGTGGGTCTACATTTCTACGATTAGCTGTCTCAGTTACTTGTTACTTAATTCATATAAAAACGCGAACAGCTAGGTAAAGCAAATTTCGTATCATGCTGGGCAAGCGCCATAGTCTGTAAGGAAATCGTGGATGCGAGAGATTTTTACCTTGCTTGATCTGTAGTGTAGTGGTTGTTTTGCTGTCGGTTCGTGCGAAGCGTTAGATTCGGGGTTTCAGTCTGTAGCTAACTAATATTTGCAAAGTTATATGACAACATGATCAAAGGCTGCTAAGGACTTTTTGTGCAGAGCCTCGGTACAATGTTGTCGGACATGTAGCCTGGCGTGCTGAGATGTGGTTGCCAATGACATGATAATGTTAGGTTCTCAAAAATGCTTACCCATGCCACTATGCGAATATGAAAGGTTTACAGCAGGCGGAAGCACTTGCCCCTACGGCCTGCTTTTTGCCTTGGTATACATAACCAAATGTGGTGATTGTTCTATGCGCTGGGTGTCTTAAGTGGCACTGCCTCACCCTATGCTTCCCAGCCGACCCTAACGCACGTGTCGACGTGTCCGGCTGGCGACAGGTACCAGGCGTGGGACGCAGCTAGTGCCACCGTAGTCACGAAACTGTGGCCGCACTGGGCCTGGGGACTGATCGCCGTGCTCGTGCTTATCTCCGCACTCTGGATACCGGGCGTGGCGCTGGCGAGGTGAGGGCGCTGGTGCCGCGGTCCGCCCCGCCCTCAGCCGCCGACCGGTGCTCCCGCACCGCCACGCTGAGGGGTGTCGGGACAGTCCGCTGGCGCGCTGTCCACTAGCTGGCGTACCCTTACGCACGCGTTCCATGAAGTAGGCAACTGCCTACGGTTGTACGCCGTTCAGATCAGCGCACCTCAACTCCGCACAAAAATATGCGTCTTAGCGACATGGTGCGAGAGCAAGCTGATTGTAAACGTCACCAGCTTCGATGCGTCGTGCACGCAAACTCCGCCGCACATCCGGACGAGCTGATGGAGTGGAGCCGACGGTGGGGCAGCTCGCACTCTGACCTCCGCCACCTCCCTGCGCCAGGTACCTGGGTGTACACGTCATCCCGGCCGAGGAGCCGGCTTGGTTCCCGGTGTCGGACCTCCGCGAGATGCACTCGGTCAAGACGCACCAGCTGACAGCGCTGGAGAGCACCCTCTTCTGTCTGCACGAGGACGGCAGCGAGGGCTGCTGCTTCCGCACTGGGCCCTACGAGGACGACGAGGACGAGGACACGGCCGTGGCCGGGCCTTGAGCGCTGCGGAGGAGCGGCCCCGCTCCGACAGCGCCCGGCTTGTCCCGCACGCGCGTCACATGGCCGGCCAGCCAGCCACGCTCGCCGGCTCGGGCTCCACGGCCGCCTCTGCCGGCCCGGGCTGGAAGCTCGCCGCGAGCGACGCGCGGGCAGGCCGCGCCGGCCGACGGTCCATTGGCAGCTGTCTCAGCTCGCAAACCAAGCTAGCCGCTTTCGTCCTGAGTGGGGAGGCTGGACTCGGCTGCAGGTCAGGGGAGTTCGGTAGCGAGGGTCTGGTACCGACCCGACGTTTGCCAGTGGGTGCTCAGGCGTTTTTCTCGTCGTGGCGGCAAGGGATCGGCCTACCCGACACATATTGACGAGGGTATCCTGCTTAAGCAACACGAACATGTGTTGATGACTGAAGGTTCAAAACTCCAGAACAAGGCTCCAGACATTGGCCAGGTGGCTCCAGATGTTTGACCTTAACTAGCATAACATGCAACATATATCTTGTTATATGCTAGCACGGTGCGTAACACCGGGTTGTGTGTGGACTCTAGATGTTCCAACGCGGTGAGGATAAGAGCTTTATTCCAAAGATAGGGCGGTGAATATAGCCTAGTTGCCGCGGATGATGGCTAGATATTCACTTACTGTTATTAATATAACCGTCTTTCGTTGTGAAGGTTGTGTAGCTAGTCAGTCATTCCACGTGTTTGCTAATACCCTGTCTCCCGCACCAGCACCATTGCACCTCTCACTATTGATCACGTCAGAATTATTCGTGTTTTTTTATTTCGTATTAGACATTGCGATTCAGCTAACACGGACCACAGCAATAATCAAGTATGCTCCCGACAAAGGCACATGGCGCCAACTGGGGCGAAGGTGACAGAAACAACCTTTGGTGGGCTTTCAGCCGGCACACCACAACTCTTTCAGTTTTTCTCTGGACGCATAGCAATTCCTTCAAATGCGTATCACTTAGTCAATGCACGTGCACGAGCTGTTATCGGTCTTACAATGGCACCAGCACTCTGCTCGGAATAAAGGATCATGGCTGTGCTACCTCTACAAATATAACGATGCTGTGGTGCTGGATGTCAATCAAAGCAAGTGCAATACTTGTATGCAATATGTAATGCAATCGAAGCTTAGAAAATGCAAGGCCAGGATGGTCTGTTGACGCGTACTGATTACGATGAGGAGCGCTGAGGCACACTTTTAAAAAAAGCTACTCGATGGGGGCACACCTATGACGTAATCTTGTAACCGTCAAACGACCAACTAATTGGATGAACCGCGACATTGATCCATGAATCAATCAGGTCATCAGTCTTTGAGTGCACCAGGGTGATGTGTCTGCCGAGTTTGGATGTTTTTGAAGGCAATAATTGACCGTTGGTAAATGCATGAGAACCGCAGCCTATTGCCCTCATTTTTCAATGTGCTCATGTGTGTGTGCGTGTGCTCAACGGTGCAGCATGTGTGTACCCTAGCGGCTCAGCTGTTGGTTCTGCGGTAGCCGGGCTACGGCAGCGGCCCGGCACCGGCGCCCTCCCGCGCCGGGCGCCGCCCTCCGCCGGCGCGCGTGGCGGCGCCGAGCGCGCGCCGACGCTGCCCCCAGAACCGGGCTGTGGTGCTCGGCGCCTGTCCCCTGCGCCTCCGGCCGGGACACGGCCATGTCTCAATGTCGTCTTCCTAGCTGACCAGGTCTCGTCGCTTCTGTGTCTGATGTGTAGACTGGGCGTTGTTCCAGCGTGCGTGTGTCTGTTGGGGAGGCGGGAGCGCTGTGGCGGCCGCTCGCCGACCGCCGGCGCGACGCCGCGCCCCATTGGCGGAGATCGCAGCACGTAGCCAAATACACAGTCAGCAGAGTGCTTCGCACCTGAACCGATGTGGCAGCGGGTGGAAATGGCGCCCGCCCGTGGAAATGGGCGAAAAAAGTCGAACAGTGGGCTGCGTCGGCTGAATATGGAGACATGCGCGTATATGTCAAGTATCATTCCAATTGCCACCAAAACAACACACCAAATGGCTATGCATGTATTACATACATAATTTGTGGGAACAGTGAAACGCGCTAGGCATCAAATGACGTAAATGAAAGCGATGGATTCGATAATGGCGGCGAGTGCCGACCGGCCCGCGCCTGATGAGACAGCGCTCGGCCAGCTATGCCTTACGGAGGGAGCGCGTACGACCTAGCTAATCTGGCGACCGTAAACTGGAAAAACAGCTAACACACAGATGCGGTTAAGAAAACACATTACCCAACGGGCACCTGCCGCGCAAGGTCTTACGTAACCTCGCGGCTTTCGGCCGGCCCAGACCGCTGACGCCTGACGCGCCGCCGCCAACACATCAGGGACAGGACTCACGCGGGCGTGGATGTAGTGCGGCCTGTGGAGATATCGAGTGCGCAGTAGGCGACAATAGCGAGAGCCGACGAATACATGAACGACCAGCAGCAATCTTGTGGACGCGAAATCTGGCCAAAAAGACACGCTATTCGGGAGAAATGACCAGACTACGGCCAGAGCTCAGAGAGTCTGCGTCACGTCTGCAGTGGCCGGAAGAGGTCTCACACACAGCCCGCGTGATTGATGAGCTGCCGGCCGATCTCCAGAACTTCGGCCCGATCCTGTCGGTGCCCGCCGGGCCCGGGCTGCGACCGTCACGGAACAGAGGCTGGGGCGACTCCAGACAGGAGGGCGGCACCGCGGCGGTACAGGGTCCGTGTCAAGGTCAGCTCCACCCGGTGGCCCGGGACAGTCGTGCACACCCGCACCGCCTGCTATCTAAGTATTGCTCGGGTCACGCGGGGCTGAGCGCAGGGTCAGAGTGCCGCCAGGCTCAGCGTAGGACGCTCCTCCATATGTCTCAAGACCCACCTCAGGCAACAAAGCACAAACAATGGGCGACGAACAAATGCCAACGCATGAAATATTGCCTCCGCACACCAGCTTCAAAGCGATCTCCGGACCGCAATAACACGCGAATCGTGGCGAATAAACAGGTGTAATCCCACCCGGCTTCTGACATCACCAACGGCGAGCCAGCAGCCCTTCAAACAAATGAGCATCAAGACCCGTTACATTCTCCCCATCTCGCGGTTTTCACCAGCGACCTCCGTAACATGACCTGGGAGTGACCTCCGAGCGGGCGCCAGCCATTGTAGGGAGTCCACACCGCCGGCCGACTCAGTTCACCATTGCGTCTCCCGCCTGCGCCCGGAGCATGACCACGCACACCGCACACCAAATGATTGGCACTTGGGATTGACCAACTCTACACCAATAAGGTACTTGCAGACGGGGTGGGGTGGACACCGCTACCGACCGACACGTCTCGGACGGGCGGTCGCAGCACGGGACACCGGACGCAGCACATAACCTGAAGCACGCCGGCACGGTCGGCGTCCGCGACACCGGCGCACGCCCACGGTCCGAAGGTTCACACATCGTCGAGCCTGGCCGCCGGCGCGCAGAGCTCGGTTCGGGTCCGCTCATGCAACAACTCGCTCAGAAGGTGGCCGCTGCGACCGGGCGGACGTGACTGAGGCCTGAAGGCCCGCTGGGGCTGGGCGGCGCCGCGAGCAGAGGCGTGCGTGCAGACCCGGCCTGCGCAGGGCGCCGGCCGCTGGCCTGGGCAGTCGGTATCCACTTGGACAGCGTCGCCCCGTCCTGCTGCCAACATCCTATCGTTGCCAGGGCTACGCCGAGCTGCTGCCGCGCCCGAGCGAAATCGCGCTTGAGCACGGCTCGGTGGTGCGGCGGGGTATGTGTCTGAGCGCAGCTCCAGTATCAGCGCCACCCATTACCAGCCCCGGCCCGCCGGCCCGCCGCAGGAAAACAAGGCAGTTGAGAACAACTCACCGGCACTGAAGTACCGACGGGAACTCGAGACCTCGACTGAGGCCAGCACTAGCAGCGGCCACAGCCGGTAATGAGCTACCAGCTCTAATGACTACGAGGGATTATCATCAAAACTATCGCTAAAATGTCCTTCGCCCTAAATCAGTTACAGCAGTGAAATGACAAGACAGGTGGGTGAACAGGGTTATAAGTCTTCTATGGTATTTTCTTTTTCTTGCGCAGCTTTTCGAGGGCTTCGTCGATGATTCGCTTCGGCGGCAGGAAGCAGCGATCAATGAAGTCCTCCATCATTGTAAACATGTGCTTCTTTACCCCAGAGAGGAAATGATTTTCGTCCGGGTAGATCTGCAACAGAGGCGAGTGATCAAAGCGTTAACACACATTGAGTCCAAGGGAGGGGCGCAGTACCATGGAGACAACAACTAACGAGTTCTTGCTCCAGCCAAGTGGGAAGGAGTGCCAAACGAACACGTTTCTTTTCATCTGACTCTGGGCGACTCTGGCTGGAGTGTGCTGTGACTCAGACTTCACATGTCTGGCGTTCTGGCGTTGGAATTGGTGTTGCGGCAGTAGCTGAACACCGCGGTGACGTTGGACTTTTCGCACTTTAAGACTCAGTGCAGAAGGAAAATTAATACCATCTCTCTCGCCAACTCAAAACTGCTATGCGGGAGAAATACCACGAGCTGTTGATAACTACCCCAAGGGTGGCATAATTATAAGACACATCGCTAATTTGATGTACACATTTGCATGAACGATCCAAACATCACCAGGTTTACATGGTTTCACCACCCTTGAGAGTCCAGGCGGAGAGCGTGGCCCCCGCTGCCTTTATAGTTGACGTGCCGGTATAACACTGAATATCTTGAAATTAAGTTTAGGTAAGATGATCCTTTAATCCACTACTATCACACGTGATGTGAAACTAACTACAGTACTCTCAAATCGGTACTTTGTAGACTGAAGCAACGCATTACACGGGCTTCGCCGCTGTCCCAGCTGGTATGAGATATAACAAAACGTGACAAGACGCTGAACATCGACGCTGTGCAGCGCGACATGATATACTATCGGCTCGCAAGTCAGATTGTACATAAACCTGGTGATTCGGATATCTTACAAAGTCTACATTACCTGTTTTTGACCGAAGGGTTAGAATACAATTTCGTGGTCGGGAGATCCTTTCCCCTCCCTTCATACACACTAGTTATGCCATAAACCAGGAAGGGATCCTTCCCCTGCACCTCATACCCACTAGTTATGACATAAACCAAGTCCACTGTCGGTCAGACAGCAGATGGAATGCTAAATATTTACCACTGGGAGGAACTACTATTATAACAACAACTTGAGGCAAAACGCTCCGTACAATATGGTCAGGCTGAGTTATGTTGTAATTTCTTAAGGTATTAAGAAAATCAGTGTTTTCCCTGGACGCCCGGCGGCTTAAGAACATGAGCTGCAAGGACAGCCTACGCGATAACCCTAATATCTTTTTTCGTAAGATACTAGGGTTATTACCCAGTATAACGATGTAACGGTCTTCCTGCCGTCCGTCTGCCGCCTGCTGCCCCAGCGTAGGACGTGCGGGTATGGGCGCCAGCGTGAGCACCTCGCGCCTCGCGCCGGCGCTCCGCCAGATCAGTCTGACCAGCTGCCGCCGCCAGCCCAGTCTGACCCGCTGCCGCCGCCCAAACAGCCTGACCTGCTGCCGCCGCCCGACCAGTCTGACCCGCTGCCGCCGCCCGACCAGTCTGACCCGCTGCCGCCGCCCGACCAGTCTGACCTGCTGCCGGAAGGACACGCCGGCCCTGATGAGGGCGCGCGACAGCAGCATACTGTGCTGCACGTGCACGTTGTCGTCGGCCGTGCCGTGGATCAGAAAGAAGTTCTTGTTCTTGAAGAGCGCCGCCCGACTGGTAAGGTCGGATTCCTCGTAGCCCCGGTAGTTGCCGCGCGGTCCCGGCAGACCCATGTACCGCTCCGTGTACGCCGAGTCTGCCAGACGCCCGGGGCACGTGACAGAGCGACAAAAACGCAGCAGACGTCAGATGGAAAAATCGTCATATCTGTGTCGTAGTCCCATTGAGAGAGAGCGAGAGCGAGAGCGAGAGCGAGAGCGAGAGCGAGAGCGAGAGCGAGAGCGAGAGCGAGAGCGAGAGCGAGAGCGAAGCGAGCGAGAAGAGAAGAGAGGAGATAGAGAGAGAGAGAGAAGAGAGGAGAGAGAGCGAGAGGAGATGAGAGAGAGGAGAGATAGAGAGGAGCGAGAGAGAGATGAGAGAGAGAGAGAGAGAGAGAGAGAGAGAGAGAGAGAGCAGAGAGAGAGAGAGAGAGAGAGAGAGAGAGAGATAGAGAGAGAGAGAGAGAGAGATAGAAGAGAGAGAGAGAGAGAGAGAGAGAGAGAGAGAGAGAGAAGAGAGAGAGAGGAGAGAGAGAGAGAGAGGAGAGAGAGAGAGAGAGATAAGAAGCAGAGAGAGATATGAGAGAGAGAGAGAGGAGAGAGAGAGAGAGAGAAGAGAGAGAGAGAGAGAGAGAGAGAGAG